GATGGGGTCTGACTTTAAAAACAATGCATAATCAGTTTGACCAGATTTCAGCAGTTTTCTCTTAAAACAAAAATGTTCCTTTTGTCATCAGTGTGATGGGTGAGGTGGAAAGGCTCATCTCTGTGGGAGAATGTGTCAAAATTAGATAATAAAGGGTGAAGTAAAAGCTTGAACAGGAAAGAGATTTGACATCCAGGATAGGGTCAAAGCGGTAGACTAATGATTCCTGTCATCACTCTGAAGAGGGTGATATTTAAATGGGTCTACATTCACATAAGTTAGACTTCTGCTGAGAAATATGACATATCAAAGCAAAAACAGCTACATTTTATATTAGTGGTGTTCTGAGATAAATCTGAACAATGATTCATTTGTTCAAATGCTCAAAAGAACCAAATGTGTGTTCATCTCCAGAAGTGTCCGCTCTGACCCACACAATCTGAGAAGTCCATTTCTAACATTTGTTTGTGCAATTTTATTCTTTCAGTCTAGTCTTTGGACAAGTTCCCATTTGGTTCCAATAACACTTCGCTGACATGGAAACCTTTCTACTCCTGTCCTTGCATGGTGAGTATGGAGTTTAAACAACTCTGAAAAACAGCTGTGGTGTAACTTCTCCTGAAACCACAAACTACTGTGTTCCTGTTTTGCTCTGTGTAAAACATTTAAACAAAAAAAGAAGGGTTGTGTTAGTTTGTGAACTTTGAGGTGAGTGAGTCGACAGATATTTAAACACTGAGAGCAGCTACGTTAACTATTTCTCCCTTCTTTGAATCTTTAAGCTCAAGTTTGTACTGGGGAAAAAAATGTGTCTAAAATGAACAATAGCTTAGCCATAGTAGTGGCATTTAGAACAAATTTGGAAGGCCACACATTCCTGTGGGATACTTTGCAATAATGTTTATTTGGCCAAGTCACCGTAATGAACGACAGTTTCTCTGTCACGTGATAACATCTCTCATTAGGGAAAACGTCCCCGCTCTCCAAGCTGGACACTGACGCTCATTTTAAAACCACTTTCGGCATTTTCATTCCCTTCCCTGTGCACCATCAACACATTTTTAATTTTTAAAGGAACTAATCTAATCAGACAGAGAGAGCCCTTTAATTAGACTGAAGGGCGGGCCATAATACATCTGCTCCAGCAGAGGAAGTTTAATTGGAAATATCAATTCCGTTAGACGGAAGAAGAGCTTGGCATGCTCGAAACGTGGCACCGAACTCAAACCACTTACAGCATGCTGATGTCTTCAGTTAGCTGGTTATGTTGCATGAGGATGACTGAAGAGTATGTTGCTTATATTTCAACATATATGAAGTAGTACCCCAGCAGTCAGAGAGGGAGAGAGAGATTTGTTCAGAGCTCCAGTCTTCATACTGTAGTACTGTAAAGGTGCATATTAATTAGAGGTTATGCATGTAGCTAATTAACTAGCAAACTTCTAAAATATAGAAGTTGCTAAAGAGATATCATAAAGATGCTGCAAGAACTGGGATTGGCACCTCCAATGTTTGAGATGCTGATGGAGGAAATTCCACTACCTCAGTTTGGTACATGTTTGGATCAGTGCTGGACCACAAACTGAGGTGCAGCAGCGACTGTGGGGAGCATGACTGAAGCAGGAAGTACCCGGATCACTGATATTTGTTTATGCTAAGTGTATCAGTGTTACCGTGTTGGGACTCCACTTGTGTTAACTATAATCTGGCTTCAACCTAACACACTGCTACAGCTTCCAAAATGTCAGCCAGCTGAATAATTGAACTGCTTTCATAAGAGCAGCTCTTTCTATTTCACTTATCCTGTTAGCAGTGGAACATTTCAGCCTTACATCTGAACACCCCGCTCATATTTCAGTGATTGACAACCATCTTATTACTACATTAGACCGAGTAACATTTCTGAATGAGTTTCAGTGCAGAACAAACACTAATGCAGTTGACAAC